AGAGACAGATAAAAAGAGAAGAAGAGAGAGAGACGGGGAGAGAGAGGACAGCTCTTTGCATAACAAAGGCAAACAGCGTGTCCAGTCCTTCAAATTGTCAGTTGAAATGTCTGCTCAAGATGCTCCATTCGCAACAACAACAACAACAACAATGACTACAACTACAACAGCAGCAATAAGGTAAGCAGCTTTGTCGGCTTAGAAGCATTTGCTTACATTTCCACAGCCACAAACAAATCACAGATAAAATTTGGTCAAAGGTGAATTTTGTCTAACGTTCGTTGTCTCCCAGCATTCTGTGTGCAATCAAATGAATAAGCAGATAATATGCCGTTATGCTAATTCATAATTATACTTGAAATAGCAAAATACATGTATGTACGTATATGTATATGTATGTAAATAAACCCATATAAATAAAACTTGACTGATTGCCTTGAGTCATGGCTAAGCCAAGCAGACATTAATTTGGCATGCAGTTAGCATCGGCTCAGTGCTGTCTATTTGGATTTGACTGCAAAGCAGTGTTGGTCAATGAACAAACATAGTGCTGTATAACACCTATGCAGAAATAATATTTACTTATTTACACAGAATGTTATGTAATTTAGATAATTAATTTATACATCTGTAGCTGACAGTCAATGCCAAATACTCAATCTCAAGAGTCAAGTCTGAAGACTTCAATCTTAAGTCTGTACTATGAAGTCTGCAATGTGATGTGTCCAATCTGAGGTCTCCAATTCGAAGTCTTCAGTCCGAAATGTCTGATCTGAAGTCTCCAATCTGAATCTCTGAATCTTTAGTCTTTAGTCTTTAATCGTAGGTCTCCAAACTGAACTCTCCAAACTCGAGTCTCCAATCTGAAGTCTTCGATCGGATGTCTCTAAATTGAAGTCTCCAATGTGAAGTCTCCAATCTATTCAATCTCAAGTCTTCAATCATATGTCTCCAATCTGAAGTCTTAAATTTAAAGTCTCCAATCGGATATCACTAATCTGAAGTCTCCAATCTGAAGTATTCAATCTGATGTCTCCATCTGAAGTCCACAATCGTAGATCTCCAAACTGAAGTTTTCAAACTCGAGTCGTCAATCTTATGTCTACAATCTGAAGTCTTAAATTTTAAGTCTCCAATCTGAAATCTTCAATCTGAAGTCCTCAATCTGAAGTTTCCAATATGAAGCCTCAAGTACATATCTATATCTAGCCTGAAGTTCAAGCTTAAGTACAAATCCAAATTCCAAATCTCTGACTCAAGTATCACATCTCAAGTGTTAAGTCCATTTTTAGCCTCTACTCTGAATCTCAGCTTGAAGCCCCAAAACCAGCTCTAAGTTAAAGTTTCCTAAGCTCTCGATTTTCCAGTATCGAGTGTCAGAACTGACGCCAAGCTGAGACCCAAGCCTAAAGGCTCAAGTGTTTCGATGAAGTATCAGATCTCAAGTCCAAGTTCAACTCTAAGTCTAAGCCCCAAGTCTCGACATTCGAGTCTCAAGTCAGCCATTTGAAAACGTATCGCTCAAGAGTCAAGCTCAGGTGCCCAATCTTAAGTGCCAGGTCCCACGTCTAAAATTGCCTTCAGGTTTAGGTGAGACTCTAACTCCATCTCCAATGTGCGCAGTGCCAAAAAAGTTCAAGAACTAACCAACTCGAATTGTCTTAATATCAAACAACTAAACAAACATTGCTCATATTTTTGGCCCCGACCACAGCCCACTCGAAAATCGAATAAAAAAAGGTAAAAAACAGTAAATCGCATGCATTCGTAATGAAAACTACTGTCAGTTCGTATTACACAACTCTCCATCAATTTCACACACACTAACACACACAGAGGAAGGGAGATAAAACACAACTAGTAAAAGGAAAATATTCGCGTTGAAGGAAAAGGGATAGAGGGACTTAAGGACTGGGCTTAAGTTGGGTGCACGCTGGCGTCTACTAAATCCAATGGAGATATTTTCGCATGCATTCCACATGGACTACATATAAATATAGATATTTCATATAAAGTTATGTACGTCTGTCTGTCTGTCGGTTCGTATAGGTGTATTCTATTTTGCGATTGAGCTGTCCAAATGCGCCTTTTAATGTAATCTCTTACGGATTTGTTTTGACAAGCGACACACTCCCACCTCTCGCCCACAGTAGTAGTAGTAGTAGTAGTAGTAGTAGTAGCAGTAGTATGTGTGGTTTCTTGGGTACAGCGTGTAGCTATGTTTTATGGGGATGCTTGGACATCTGTAAATACATCTGTATGTATATATTTTTGGCTGCTGTTCATGTCCCATCATAAATATTCGATTACTCAGGCGCATCTAATTTGCTATATTATATTTGCTAAAAAAGTTCTTTGTTTTTTATATGTATTTTTAGCTTAGAATGAGGTGGGTGAAATGAGCTTGTCAAGCGCTTCAATTGCTGCCTCAAATCTTTTAAGCATCAACATGAAATTAATAAAAAAGAGGCAGACATATGTTCTATTAGGAAAACCTTAACATGAATCTTTCTTTTAAGTAATACTCAAAATAACCTGAACTAGAGGATTTCTTTACATGAAACTACTAAAGTTTATTCTCTGTACATACTTTCTTCAAGAAAATATATCTTAACATATGTTATGTAGCATATACATAATACTTAACATATGTTATATAACATTTACACGATACACAACATGAGTCATTTATAAGTACTTATTTCTACAAATATATCAGAGATAAGTGCATACAACTTTCCAATTTATAGACCTTGTACATATAATATATAACATATGTTATATGAATGTTATGTATGCATATAAGTGAATAGGCTTGAGTGTTTAACGCAACACGTCGCATTTACTTGGCACGTACTTCCACTCTCTTTTCTCACACTTCTTCCCATATCTGCCCTCTCTCTCTCTCTCTCTCTTTCTCTCGTTGCGTGAGTGTTTCTCACACCAATTCATTTGTGGAGCCAACTATGATATGTAAATATTGGGGTAGCGTCAAGTGGATTTTTCCCATAGGAAAATAACTGAACGTTTCGCCATACGGAGGCGCTGATGCGAATGTGAATGTGGATGTGGTAGAGCACCGAGAACATAGAGGCGGATAGCTGAGGACGGAGAGTGGAGAGTGGAGAATGGAAGTGAAGCGCTGCTGAGGTGGACCTGCGGTTGCAGTTGCAACTGGGAAGCCTGCTGACTCTGAGCAAATTCCACTTTGGCACTGGCAATGCGATTTACATATTACTAGGAGAGTCTGCTTTGAATAAACTCGCTTGCACGGCCCCAGTACTCGGCTTTATCTCTGCCCCCCCGCCATGCCGTTCACCTCTCTGTCACACTCTTTCTAACTATGCACTTGCCGTCTTTTTCGCTTTCTATGTGTCTGTGCGTGTGTGTGTGTGTGTGTGTGTGTGCATGTGTGTGCAGTTTTTAAATTTGCAAACATGAGCATGTAAATTTGCAATGAATAAATTAACCAGAATCTGTAGCGCTCATCCTTATGCGCTCGGCTAAAATCCAAGAGCAACTGTCATGTGAGGCGTGTGCGTTGCTTTGCGCCGTTGCTCAACACTTTCGCTATTTATTTAAAACAAATTGGCAGCACTGCTCGAGTGAGGTTAGGGCAGACGGCTTTAAGTCAAATTGCGCTCAGTTTTAATCACTTTTTATTACGCCTGTCCTTGGGACGTTCAAAGTAGAAGAAATTACTCAGCCTCAGGCGGTCCGCAGTCTGACAGCCTATCTGCCCCTCTCTCTCTCTCTCTCTCTCTCCCTCTCGCACACTCGGTGTCTGTCTGTCTGTCTGTCTAGCTATCTCTCTCTTATTGTGGCGAAAAACATTTACGTGGCAGCAGATAGACAGGCCTCGCAGGCTGAAAACAACTCTTTTTTTTTGTTGTTGTTGTTGTTTTTGTTTTTGTTTTTGCAACATCAACAATAAAAAAAGAATATACAGCTGGAGACAGATCCAGATGGGGAAAAAAGCGTCAGCGGCAGCCACGGCGACAGCTTCACTGCCACGACGACTTAACATAGAGACAGACGGAGAGTAAGAGAAAGAGACAGAGAGAGCAAGCAAGAGCGAGAGGATGTTGGATAAAGTTCCTAGCCAGCCGCAACGACAGCCAGCGCCAGAGATGTCGACGAGCGGTGAACAGGACGACGACAACAGGACAAAAACAAGTGCAAAACAAAAAATGAAGTAGGGAAAAAGAAACGAACACAACGAGCCGAGAAAACTCAATTAAACTTTTGTAATTACAGCTAAAACGGAAGAAGATATTTATCCAGTATAATTGCATTGAAGGCAAATGAAATAAAAGTATAAAAAAAAAGAGAAGAGAACGAAGGGAAAACAAGAAATGGCTGGGCAACCAAAACCCGGGCAAGAAAATAAATAAATAAAGGATGCCGGGAGACAAAAACACGACAACTCTGGTCGCCAGGTGAAACGCCGGCTCCATCATCCCAGCACCGCAGCAGCACCGCAGCATCGCAGCATCGCAGCATCCCAATAGCCAGTCGTAAGCCGGTGCACGCCTGCTCTCCGGTCAAGCGACGCCGCAAGTGCCACTTGACACATCTGCAACGGGAAAGGAAGAGAGCAAAATATCATCATCCTCATCTTTGTTAGGTCTCCTTTCGCTTCCCCCTCCCTGGCCTCGTCCGTGTCATCGTCGTGCACCAGTTCACATCCTAACGCCCAGAATTGTGCTGATTCCATTTGTATAGTCTCTCTCTCTCTCTCTCTCTTTCTCTCTTTCTGTCTCGCTCTCACTCTTTCCCCTCTCCCTCTCTCCCTCTCTCTCTCTGTCTTTCTAACTATACTTCTCGCGGCTGTATTCCAAGAACAATGCATCAAATCTGATGCAACAGATCGCTGCAACAGATGAGAATGCCTCCAGAAAGAGACAGAGCGAGAGAGAAGGAGAGAGAGAGAGTGGGAAAGGGAAACAACAAAAGTGAGAAAGTTTAGCGCAACGCAACAAATCTTTTAGCTAACATTCTAGCTTATCGCGCTTCGCATTTGTTTCATTTCGCTCTTGGAAAATTCTTAGAAATAGGAATTAAAAAAGTTGATGTTTCATTCCAGCTGGTTGACTGATTTATTTGTACATTCATTGTTTTTTGCATTTGCTCGAATACATGTATTCTATTCTAATGTTATTTAAGTGCCCAACATTAGTTGAACTAATGTCGGTTACATTTCAGTGTTCCATGTGCAGTCGTCTCCCAGGTCTGTATGTATTTGAAATATATGGTATATGCCCAATTGAGTAGAAATAATACAAGTTTCATTCATTCCAAGTGTTCCACGACTAATCGAAGGTAAGAGAATTGCAATATTTAAAAGTGTAAAAAGCGTCCAATGTTTCATCCTATCCCATGTTTCATTCTCTCTGTGTCTACCAAAGTCTTCCATGCTAGGCTTGCTCTACCAAAAACTTCGCTCCTCTCATCTTGAGCTGCTCATAAATTGTATTATGTGTTTCATTCCATCCGTGCTGTATTTAATTTCCTTCACTTCTATTATTCCACCTGTTTCACATCCAACGTTGTCTCAATTGTCTTAAATGTTTCATGTAGTTTCTCCGTTTGGATTGTATTGTAGTACACCGCTGTTTCATTCCAGTCATTCCTAGAAAAGAAGAGTGCTTTGCGAATTTAGCTTATAGTTTATAGACAGTGTTTCATTCCATCTGTTTCATACCTAACTTCCCGTAAATTGTAAAATAAATGTTTCATCCCACCCGTTCGAATCGGATTGTGAATTGTGCTATGTTTCATTTCCACCGCTCCACAATTCACATAGCCTAACTGTCATTTTACATATATTTGGCAACAGTCTCCTCATCAATGCGATACATCCCGTAGTCCTCGACAACCGCAACCTCCATCTGATCGGCGGATAGTCCCCTTGGGCTCCTCAGCATCAGGGACTGAACTGCTAACGATACTCCGTCTTCGGCATCCATGCGCTTGCGGTACTTTCTCTCCAGGAAGAGCGTGCGCTCGTGCATATGCCGGCCGATGGCGCAGGCCTTGTAGGCCGAATTGCTGCCAGCGGCATCCATGAAGTAGAGCTGGCCACGATTATCCGAAAAGCCGGCGAGCAGCAGGGATAAGCCGAAGGGACGCACTCCCGTCGACTGGGTCAGCTCCTGCATGGAAGTGGACACGGATCTCATTAGACAGTGCACTGGCAATGGATGGTCGTGAACGAGGTTGAACTCGGCAATCGTCTTGCGGTACAGCTTTGTGATGATGCGAAAGTCGGGAAACAGGCCGGAAAAGGTAATGCCCATGGTGGAGCCGATTTCTTTCACCTTCTCCACCGACTCGCCGATGGCATACTTCAGTTTCAACCTCTTCTGGGTGGCCAACACAACGCCGTCTAAAGTCACAATGCCCACAGCCGGCTCACCCTTCATGGCACAAGTGTTGGCATAGTCCACCTGCTTCACCTCCCCGAATGGATTAAATGTGCACAGATTGTAGCAATATCGGTTGGTTTCATCTATATCCGAAGAATACATTATGTCCAATTATTACAAAATATATTTTTATTTTTGATGAGTATTGAAGTATTCGTATACTTGACTGAGTCTATCGAATATTTTTTTCCTATATATATATGTCAGTGAAAAGCAAGGCCTACTTGCTCTAGGCAATTTTTTTACTTACTCATTAGAGATTGGAGTAAAGTTAGCAAGGCCTACTTTCTCTAGGCAATTTTGTTTCTTACTGTTTAGAGATTGGAGTAAAGTTAGCAAGGCCTACTTGCTTTAGGCAATTGGAGTAAAGTTCATGATGGAAATATCTACATTTCCTGAAGAGAATTCAGAAGTCCTGCGGACTTGCTATATTCAAGCTTAAGCTAAGTTCTTTACGGACTCAATTTAAGTTGTTGTTAAATGCAAATCAAGTTCATGTTAAATTCAATCTGAGTTTAACTTCAAGTTAAGTCAAGTTCATGTTAGGTTTAAGTTAAATATAGTTTCAAACTAAATAAAAATTAAGTTAGTCAAGTTCAGGTTAAAGTAAGTGCAAGTTAAACTTAGGCTCAAGTTAGGTTGGTCAAGTTCAAGTTAAGTTTACGTTAAATTAACTTCAAGTTCAGTTGATCAAGCTCACGTAAAGTTTAAGTCAAGTTGAACTTAACTTCAAGTTAAGTTACTAAATGACTTTATAGGAAAGTCGAGGAAAACAGAGAATTTAGTCTTACGTCTTACACTTATTAACCTCTAAGATCGAGGTCAATCAAAGTAATAGCTGAAATTGAGCTTTGATTTCAGTTCTCAGTAAACCACAAAGCAAAGCCGCCAAGAACATTTATAGCAAACATTCTTAGAGCTCAGCTTAAGGTACAACTTCAACTAATTAGAACACTATCCAAGTAACAGTTTCCCCATTCCCAATCCTTTCATCAGTCAATCAGTCCTAGCAGCTCTTTCAGCAATCGCAACACAGTTTCTCATATCATAGTTAGGAGTCAACTTGATTAGTGAAGTTGAAGAGCTTGCAGATAAAATACTGCAAAATGACCTGACCAGCCCGTTCTCTTTCTTCTTTCTCTGCCCTCTATCTCGCTCTCTGTCTCCCTCTATCTTCCCTCTCCCTCTCTCTCTGAATAGTTGCACTGTTTTGGTGACCTTTGTCGCTCGTATACAAATTGTCGCCTCTGTTTGTCCGTTGATGAAGACATTAATTTGATGCAAATCGCGCCAGCCCGACACACAATCGAAGTGCTAATTGCGCTTCTTTCAATACAGAGCACAAGTACCACTCCGCTACCAGTTCCACTTCCATTTCCACCTCCATTTCCTCCACTCTCTAAGCCCTATTCAAACAGTCAGCCAATCGCCAGCTGCAGCCCCAAAAATGGCAGCAACAGTAGCTTCATTATCTACAGCAGCAGCAGCAGCAGAAGCATCATCATCATCATCATCATCATCATTGGCATCGTCATTAGGCAGACGAGGCGGAACAGGAACTGCTGCAGGTAAATGCAACAGGCGTGGCAGCAGGAGCAGAGGAACTGGGTAACCAGAGGCCAGAGGGCCAGTCACATTGCTGATTCGGGTCCACTTCATTATGTATGCGCGACACAGACAATGGGCCACTGATGGACGTGCTGCAATTGCTGCAGCAGCAGCAGGAGCAGCAGGAACAGCAGGAGTAGCAGGAGCAGCAGGAGCAGAAGCCGTGGCATCAACAGTCGTCCCTGGGCACCGCAAACATAGAGGGCAGCATCTAGCGGAATCTGAGCTGCAACTGGCGACCCTCGCCCTCAATGTATAAAATGTTTTGTAAATCTGAAACGCTTGTCTCTGGCATGCACCTGTATACTATGTGTGTGTGTGTGTGTGTGTGTGCCTTAACCAACACCTGGCACATAAGCTGATGTGCAATGGAGTCAAATTGCGGAGCATGTGACGCCAGTTTATCTATTTGGCCGCCTGACCAGCTTGTTAAGTTTTTGCACAGCACACGCTGGCACACCTGGCACACCTGACACACCTGACGCACAGCTGACACGCCTGCTGGCACACCTGCTGGCCGTTGGCTTTCAAGAGCCGCTCCGACCACAAATCGAAACCCGGTCTGTGCAAATGAATGCCTGCCGCAGCAGCTGCCGTAGCAGCAGCAGTAGCTACCGGAGCCAGGCAAGCTGCCAGCCAGCCTCAAGTGCTCCGAAAGATGCTGCCCCAAATTACAGCTGCTCGACTTTCAGCAGGTCCAAGTCCGTTCGGGCCCTTCCTGCCGGTCGCCGTTCTCCATTGACAAAGCAGGCCGTGCAGCCTGTAATCCAGTGTGGTCCTCGGCCCATAAGCGCCCATCTCTCCACTCATTTATCGACGCCAGCAACTGGCAACTGGAACTGGAACTGGCAGATTGGATTTGTGAACGCAATTTTGCGTTAACATAGCATTAATTTAATGCAATTTTGCTATCTTGCTTTTAGGCTGGACCTTGATCGCTGTAATAGCTGCAGCCTCTCCATTTCAATTAATCAATACTGTTGATTAACTAAAAGCTTCAATTACAACTAAATTATCAAGTTGCAGCTACTAAGCCATAAAATGCATGCATCATACAGTTTCTACTGAGTTTTACTGCCAGGGCAAGATTCTGTGCTGAGAGTGAAATCATTGATTTTCGCTGTAGCTTGCTTTGCTCTAGCTTAAAAGCTATGAGAGTAAGATATATATCTTATATCTACATACGTATCTATATATCTTCGATTGAAGACATCAACTTCAAAATAAATATTCTATAGTAAAAATCTTCTATTTCCCGCTTAAAAACTCCTCTTTGCCTCTCAGCTGCTGTAGCCCTTCTATCAAGAGCCCTTTTGATAATGAGCTCATTAGCTTATCAGCTTTTCATAATGATCATTATTGCTCTGAGAGATTGTCAGCTTCATTTACTCGCAAAGCTCTAACGCTCGCACTACGCAAAATAGGTCCACCCTAACACACGCCACGGCCCTTATAATTTATACTATGCAATATTTTATGCATTCTTATATTATAGATTTAAGTGCACACGCATTAAGGCCGTTAGGAGAGCATTATGAAAGTGCGGCTCTATTAAAATGCGTTGTTTCTTCCTCTTCCTCTTCCTCTTCTTCTTCTTTTTTTTGCTGTTTGTGCCATAAGCTTTTTGCATTGCGCAAGCGAAACAAAATGGCGGCCCCAAGTGCCAATGTTTAATGCGAATTCAAACTTAACGATCTCGCCAAATGTTTTCATAAACGACCAGACGCGATTTATGTTCTATATACACATATACATATGTACATGTACATATATACACATACTCCATATATACATCTATGTATATCGCCACGCGAGCTGGCAACTCATTAAGTTGCCGTTCACTGTCTCTGCTGGCCATCAAAGTCGATTACCTAGAAAATGCCCTAAAATGCCGCACTGCCAATCGATTGAGTTGAGTTGAGTTGAGTTGAGCTGAGAGCCCTGAACTCTGAGCTCCGCACACATGGATACGCCGGACTGGCCGGAAGGTCGAAAAGTCGCTAGGTCCTCTGGTACAGTCAGATTTTAGACGTAACGATTCATTGTCAAATTACATTAACAGCCCGGGCACATAGGGTGTCTGTATTTTGACAGCTGCTTTTGGCTATTGACATTCGCTTCTTGGCACACACACAAACAGACACACACACACACACACACACACACAGTGAGCACACAATGCAACGTTATGGTCAGCTCTATGACAGCTATGGCGCAGTACTTAGTCCATCTTCCTTTTACGGCAGAGGCGACCATCGACTCGACAATACTCCTATCCCATCCTATCCCCATCTCGGCCGGACTGGCGTGGGCTTGTCTATGCTCATAAACGGCATGTTTAGTAGCCAATGAGCTGCGTTTTTATGGCATTCACACCCACAGAGACAGGGAGAGGATGGAGCAGGAGCAGAGAAGGCGTGGGCGAGGCCTTTGGCTATTGGAGTGTGTGTCAAAGTTAATTTTCGGCACAGTCTTTATGAAGTGCTACACATTTTGCGTATGGGACAGCTGTTGAGTGCTGCTGTTGCTGTTGCTGCTGCTGCTGCTGTTGCTTGTAGCAACTGACAGCAGTGCCACAGAGTAGTTGGACACATTGGACTATAGCCAATGCGACACTATAAATAGTTGCTATAAATACTATATATAACTATAATAGTTGCTCTAAATAGTTGCTTCTTAAAAATCTTCCCAAATATTCTCAACATTTTTGTTCGAAATCCCTTCGCATCTCTTTGAAAGTATAATCTTTTGGTACTCCTTTCGACTTTCTAATATAATATAAT